TTTGGAAAATCACCTCCTCCTATACTCTTAATTTCAGATAAGAGAGGCCTTTGAAAACTACTGAGTAAAAAAGAGAGCTGTCTATCACACATTGTATCATACAAAACTGGCGGTTGGTCTGCAAGCCCTCTTCTGTCTTGTTCAGACCAGGAATATGAACTTCAAGCCTATACTTCTTGGGTTACAGAGTTAAACCAGAGACCAACCAACAGCCTTCTAGATTCTGAAAAGCAAAGCCCACAGCTCAGGAGTGACCACAGCAGTCCTGCACAGTGTTGCCACCAAGCGTATGGTAGTCACAAATGGCCTTCTACCCCACCGGAAGTTTCTTTCTGAAGGGGACAATCTTTCCCAAAGAAGCTACCAGACACATTCCCACCAAGACGTTCAATCTCCCACACATGCAGGTTTATAATGTTGTTTGCTTACCTCGTTACACTGTTTGAATGCCTGGCTGCTATACAGATTTACAGTAGACTAACAGTATTAACACTGAGACAATCCTTGGAACAAAGTGAGATTAAATACGCAGTGAAGACTCCTGCAGAAACATTTATCTTTTAAAAGGCTATGCTTCAAATTCTGCATGCTAATCTCATAAGCAGTTTTACTGGAGCACAGAAATTTAACTAGAGTTTATTTTACTTCTATCAGTTTTCCTACAGAGTAAGAAAGCTCTTTTGCCTGTATTTTGCAAATGGAACTTATTTTTGGAAAAAAAGCAAAAAAGGAAGGAGGAAGAAAAAAAAGAAAGAAAAAAGATAAGTTCTGAAATTTACAGCTCACACAAAATGTTCTGATCTAATTTATTTTCTCTCATAAGTGGAAAGAAAGCCAATTTAAAAGTTTGGGAGACAGACAGAGAGCATCATCATCTTCTGCTTAGGAGGAAATTAAGGCCAATAGAGGTAATGAAATGGAAAGTTGACTCTGAAAGCACAGAACAGAGCACAGACACCTCGGAGTATCACAGTTAAATCACGCAATACCAGGAAAACTCTCTCTGCTGACCTATACCTAGGAAGTTCTGAAGGTGACAACCACTACAAGATAGTGACTTTCAAAAAATTTGGTTTTCTTGTAAAGCTGCTATATGATTCTACTACTAGTGTGTGTATGGGGTTGATCTGGTTGCTTTTTTCTTAAATAAGAACCAAATCATTATTGTGCTCTGCTCTATAATGAATAAAGCACAGCTTCATTCACCAAATTACCCCATTTCTCCTGAATAGCTTTAGAGGTTCTGAAACACATATTGGCAAGGGGGATGCCATAAAGTAAAACTGTAACTGTAGATCAATATACAATATAAAAATTGGCATTTGAACTCTGAAATTCATTTTGGTAGCCTTAATAGAGTGTATTCTACGTAATTCTTGCTCTTGACTCAGCTTCTTGACAGCTTCTTTACAGGAGAAGGTGTGTGTATATTGATGTAAAAATACAAACAGCTAAGAAGAAAACTCACAAAACAATGAAGGAAACATATTGACTCAACCCATCAAACCAGACCCACGAACAAGCAAAACCAATGTTACCGCAAAACTTCACTGGTATGTATTTGACCAAAGAATGTTAAAATTATATATTTTTCATCTGTTATGCAGCAAGTGTGATTAATTAAAAAAAAAATAGGTAATTTACATATATTTGCCAGGTTCATATTTTGGAGCAAAAACTGCAAGGCACACAGACAGACGATTGGATGCCAGCATTTCAATTCCTAAAGTTCCCCACTTCCCCTAAAGTCTAGGAACAGACAAACCTTAGGTAATTCGTTGGTGCCAAGGGCCAGATTAACCTTTCCTATATGAAAGAAGGCTGGAAAATATGACATAAACATGTATTTCTGATCCTTTAAGATACTTTAAAATACTCATGAGGTCTCTCAATCACAGCTCAGCAGGAACCAAAAGCAAGACAAAAACTAGAAAACCAATACTGCAGTCTTTCCCCCTCTCACTACACCACTTTTTCTTATAAGAGATTATGGCATGGACCAGTATATACTGCAGCCCCACTGTGTATTCCTCTTCCTTTTTTGACGTGAACTAAACATAAAAGAATGCTCTGAAGAATCATTCTGTAAATTATCTTTGATACTGAATTCTTCTGTTTTCTATCTGAAGAACTTCTTAAGTTTAATTTGTGACAGGTGATAAGAGGCTTACTTCTTTTTTAAGTAAGAAAGCCTGAGACTCTCCACAAGATGCACACAGTTTTTACTACTGTTACCTGAACTCCTATCAGCTAACAGCCTACTTGCGTGAATTAAAATTTATCCCCTATGACAAACTTGATAAAACATGGCTTGAAACTTCATGAAAATAATTTTTGTCCTAAGCTTTAAATTAATGAACATGAAACTGCATTTTAGGACAGCTAAGTGATGCAGAACAGATGTTGAGCTAAGATTTAATTTGCCAAATATCAGTTCAGAACATGTATGTGAGACTGGAGTACTAGCAGCTCAAACTACATAGTGAAAACAATGGAAAAGATTTGTCAACTACATCAGTGCCTGCCAACCATTTTCTGGGACTTTAGATGGAAATTCCGCCTGAAATGAAGAGTCCAGAAAATAATGTTTGGTTTTAGGCATGCTAATTACTTACTGGGAAGCCTATGTTCTCTTCTGGATGTCTCTTTCTCATCTTGAGCTGATGGACATCGCAAATGCTAATCAAACCCCTGTAATTAGGATGCTTTTGTCCTGCAGATTTTCCTCTTCCCGTGAGCCTTTGTTTGGACCTCTGGTTGAACAGGTAGGCTCAGTGTCTGAAAATGATGCCTGCCATTCCACTCCATGATTCATGTCAGTCACAAAACACCCCAACCAACCAGCCAAACAAAGCAGCAGTAGGTCTGTAAGGAAACTCAAACCTTATCAGTTGACAAAGTCCATCTGCTGACCAACGTGTTCATTTTTTTCTTGTTGTGGAAGGTATAAATTGTAACCCTTTGAGGAATCAGTGCAAGTTAATACAGCCATTGAAAGTCTCTTGTATTTGGGCCATGTTTTCCTTTTCCTAATTATACCTCTCATGTGCTACCCTAAATAATTCCTGTCTTTCCATAATATTTTTCCAAACATCTGGAAAATCTTCTGTCACCTCCTTTCCACACTTGTCCTTTATCTATGTTTTTGTAACCTTTCCATAGAAATCAAGATGTTAGAAGTCTTCTGATTGCTTTTGCTGCTTTTCATCAAACTCCTTCCAGTTTTTCAATGTCTTTCCAACAGCTGAATGGTCAACAACTGCTGTAGGCCACAGATATTCACAAACCAGACTACCTAGGTGGGCTATAGTTATTTTACTTACATAAATCAATACTCATGAATGCAAAAATGATATCACAGGTTGAAAAAGAAGCAAAAAGCAAGCAAATGAAAAATTTGCAAAAAGGAAGCCTTCTTTTACATATCCTGTACTATTAACTAACACTTTTGAAGTGATAGATTGCAACTGAACAGAGATAGCTCTCCCTAAAAAGATATTGCGTCTAGGACCTGTAGAGATACTGTAAATATGTCTTCCCTGTCTCAGGGGAATAGTGCCTTCAACATCATCATGCTTCTCCTAAAAACATCTCATGTAGATTACAGTCATTTTCTCCTCTGGTTTACTGCACTCCTAATGTAGTTTTCTTTGTATCTGACCACAAGACAATGACAGAGCAAAGCTCCTTCTATATGAGCTTTTATATTCTGGAATACAATATTATCAAAATACCAAGGTTTCATACAAAGACTTGTTTCCCTCAGGTTACCAACATTTGCTCTGGGGCAGGGGCAAGAAGGGTAGGAATTTAATTTATATTTTTTCAAATTTCTGGAGAAAAACCTAAGGGAGGGGGAAAGTTGAAGACAAGTTTTCTCAACAAGTAAAACTCTGTAATGCCATAAGCAGCTGCATGCAGCGTGTTTCAGATGCACCATAAAATTTAGCTGTTGTGTTCCCAGGTGGACAGACAGAGAGGACCTCTACAATGTTAAACAAGCAGAGAGATCAGGTTGTGAATGTTTGGGTTTTCTTCAATGCAGGCAAAGAAGTCTTTTCAAACTATTGCTTGAACATTTCCAGCAATTTTGTTGGTGGCAAATTTCTGGGCTCTCCTATTGCTACATTACGCTTAGAAAAAGAAGTAAAAAGTAACAATAAAAAAAAACCCAAACCACATTATCTAGCACAGAAAAACCTTGTATAAATTAACACTTTCCACAAGTTTAATTAAAAGTCACCAAAGAGACTTATTTTATTTTCCATTAGAAAACAGAACAAAAATCACTAAATGCATTATCATAGAAGTCGAAGAAAACTCTCTAATTAATCTGCCTGCTAGGAGTTTTTTCCTTGCACCTTCCCATGGTATTTGAGGAAGGTCATGCCTCACAGCAACATTAAAAGTTGCACTATATATTTCAAAAGCACGCACATTAACAACCATTTCCGCAAAGCTGTAACATACACATTCTGTTACCATGTACTGGCATTGGAAGCCTGCACAACACACAGGGTGAAGCAGAAGCCTGATTACATGATCAGGCTTTCACTTTGCTCAGTCTCATTGCCCAATACCAGAATATCCTTTTCTGCCGCTTTTATGAATATTAACTGCAGACAAACCAAGAACTCTTACAACTTCTGCCCACGAAGCAACTTGAAAATCCAATCCACAATGGTTAGAGTCGAGAGTCATACCACTCCCATTTTCACAGAAAATTACTTTTCTTAAGCTTTTGAAGGGTGGTGCTACTGAAAGCAGGCTAAACACGCACATTCTAGAGCATACCTATCATTTCATTTCACAGAAGAGCTCGTGAGAGCCTTCCAAGGGAAAGCATTAGGACAAAGCTGTTACGCAAATGAAATCTTCCACATTCTGTCACAGGGTTGTTTTTTTTTTCATATTCAACAGCAGAAATACACAAAGCAAATCAGAATTAAAAACCTCTTCACAAGCAAGAAACAGTAGTAGACAATGAAGGTTTCACCCACCTGGGATCTTTCTGAATGCTATCAATGGAAGGTGACCTAGCCAAGGTCCCTTCAGGTGGGATGGCTGGCCCAGATTTGCTGTATGGTGATTCAACAGAAGGACAATACTGCAGCTGTCGGTAGGGGTCTGCGTAATTGGAGGCTGGGCCGGCTGCATAGCTGGCCCTCTGGAAGGTCGCTGTTGCGTTCTGTGTGCCGTGTTGACTGCCTGTGCGCTGTAAGGGTACGGAGTCGACACCAGGGGAAGATGGGGCTACGACAGGAAAGTAGGGACAAAGTAAAAAATTGAGGACCTGTTCACAGAAATGGTTAACCAGGTCTAGGCAGAGGAGAAAAAAACCAAAACACACACATATAAAACAGGGGTTCAAAAAAAAAGAAAATGAGGAAAAAAAAGAACAAGCAACATTGTAATTTTCAAAACCACTGAAGTAAATAATCGTTAAACGAATTTCTAAATGACATGCTGCTTCTGGACTAGAAGACCTTTACACCAGTTAAGCAGACTGTAGCAGTGCTTTTCTCTAGGAGTTTTAACTCTACTAACCTGAAATGAAAGAAGTGCAGAAGCAGCATAGGAACAGTCAAGCTAAGACTCAAAACCACCACTGAGTGAGGCTTTTGCAGTTCTTACAGGGGTGGAAGTCAGTCAGATGCCCCAACAGAGTCCAAACTGAGATGAGTGGCTCCATAGGAGAAGAAATAGGCTGCCATAGACGTCCCAGATTTGTAGTCCTGGTACGCATAAAGCAGGTAAAACCAGACAGCTGCTACTAAGAGTGGCTGCGTATGCCTCATTGACCCATCTTCTGCATATTTCATCTTAAGTAAGGCTTAGGGGAGTGCTACTGCTAACTTAGTTTGAAAAAGAGATAAGCACAAGCAGATGTCTTAATGCATGCCAGCAATGGCTGTGCTCACATACCACAGCTCAAGATTAATGCATTAGCAGTTCTGAATGGCTAAACCAATAGATTTAAACTGACTTAACGCTTTTGCAACTCAAAAACCTTATTAATCTCTCTTGTAGCCCATTATCTTTCTGTTGCAGCACCATGTACTGCAGATCCAGTCTGCTTTATGATTCTTATTAAACATGCAGTATTTTTTAACCAAGTCCAGTTAATAGAAAATGGATTATCACTGTACAGGCCACAGGACCAATAGCCACATGATCTTTATCCTGGAAACAAATACAAGTTAAGTACTGGTTCTGCTCAGAAGGAAATTCAGACTGTTTGAAGTGGCACATGAACTGATGGTGGCTCCCACTTCCCCTTGTCCCAAGACGAGTACTTTTGCCATGAGAAGTGGGCTCAGGTCCGTGACTATTTTTACCTTGGTCAAATTCATATACTAATCTGTAGGCAAAACCGCATATTCAAGAGACAGGTTTGCATAAATAGATTTCCCACTCATTTCTCATTAACATGCACATTTACATTTTAAGAAAATATTTAATATATTATAAGGTCCATGATAGTGACTTTAAGTATTTTATCTCAAAGTTACTCTCAAAGTCAGCAAATGAATTACAGTGAGCTTTAAATGTAATTACAGCAGTTTTGATCGATTTAGTACTTGTCAAAGTTTCAACACCTGGAAATCTTAAATTTGTATCAAATCTTTGCTTATTTTTTTTTTATTAGGGTTCTGAAGTATGTAATTTTACAATAGAAGTATCATCTTACAGATGTCTTACAAACACAGATAAGTAAGATCACTCACTTATCTACTGCCCTGAAAGTGTTCAAGGACAGGCTGGATGGGGCTTTGAGCAAACTTGTCTAGTGGAAGGTGTCCCTGCCCATGGCAGGGAGGTTTGAACCAGATGATCTTTAAGGTCCCTTCCAACCCAATCCAGTCTATGATTGTATTAACTTTTATATATATAGCAACATTTTACAAGTATTGCTCTTGTTTAATTGCTAGTATATTTCCTTGAGAAATGAGTAATAAGACACATACAGGCCTTTACATAAAAATACATCAGCTAAAATACAATAACATTAGCATACGGAAACATCCCATGCACAAATCATGCTAAATCCAGTGTTAGGAAGACACAAGGAAAACATCACATTTTAACAGAGAATACACACAGTTCAAACCCAAATTTGGTGCCTTGTGAGAAAAAGAGTAAAAAAACAAATTAGAGAAAATACTGGAAATATTTTCAAATGAAAAAAGCAAAAATATAATTGCATACTGATATAGCATACTCTTAGGTGCTGTCACTTCACAGAGTATGCTCCTAACTTTTGACACATTATATGGGGGACTGCAAAAGACCCTACAACACTAATACTGCTGAAAACAAAAACTTTATTGTAATGTAGATTGCCATCTTTTCCCTTTCTCTCCTGTTCAAGACAGTTCAATGGGAACAGTGTTTGTTTAAAAATGATTTGAAAACTTTTTTATTCTCTCGTTTGCCTTCTCATCAAAATAAGTATTTATATGAACTGAAACTAGCTGTCACCCTAACACCTACATGCTTTTTCGAGTCACTCTGATTCGTTTCTCAAATTATCTTTCTAGCAGACTGTTACTTCCTTTTTAATTTTATCACAATGAGCACAGAAGTGCCATAGCCAGAATATGAGAATGAGACAAATCTACGACTTAAACATTCACAAATAAGCTTGCTTGGCCAGTGTTACCCAGATCAATTAAAACCAAAACAAAAAGCTTTAGAGTAGCTTCTACATCCAACTTGACAACAGTCACCTTCATGAACTGTAAAAGGGTCAAGCTTTAGCAGACATTTGCACACAGTAATTTTAATGTAAAACTGAAGCAAATCCATCTCCTGCCAATACGCTACTTGCTCAAACGAGTCCTTCTGGCAGCCAGACTTACTGAATGAAGTGTGACTCTTCTCACTATGCCAAACTTTGTCTCTTGAGATCTCCCTTCTATTTAGCTATTGGAACAGCAAACCATAGAGATTATTAGACATCTATTAAAATAAATACATTCAGAAGACCATTTGCCTCACCCAGCAAAATTAAAACTTCTAGTGAGCACAGGGGTATCCAGAAAGCACACAGCCGGAGTGGACCAGAAAGTATTCATGTACCAGCAAAGTTTGTAGATGGCCATGCAACCTTTCTATGCGTTTTTATCTCGAAGACACTTATCCTTTTCTCTAACTTCCATGTTCGACTCTCCTCTTAAGTTCAAGGCAGCTACAACTTGCCTAGAGTCAGCTCCGCGTGGGTAAGACGCAACACTACTTTTGACAAGGATCAAGGTTCTGTCCCAGCAAAGGAAGAGAGGGGTGGGAAGGAGTTGTAACAGAAGTGCTGTTTCTGGAGAAATAGACTGCTTTCACCTCTCCCAGAACCAGCCACCACTCCCTGTTGCCCGGGGTCTACAACAGACTCTATTCTGCCTGTGCATAAAGGTAAAACCAAAAGTCAACCAGACTCTGAAGGAGCAGGTCAAGTTTTGTGGATGTCTTGACTCACTGCTGATTTAACAAGCTTAGAGATAAAGGTGTCCACAAGTCTAGACCTGCTTCTGGTCTTCAAAAGCTCCCAAACTGATCAAGATTAAAATCAAATAAACAAAGGCCTCAAAACTGTACTTATCCTGTGTCTTGCTTTATCAAAGTGACCACCCATGACAGTGTTGCTTTTAACAGTGACTGCTGCCACACTTTTTAAAAACTTAGATGGAAATCAGCGGTTGATGTCAGTTAAGTCTCTTGAGTTCTTATAAATCAAAGAGAAAGAAAAGCCCCTGCTAACTATAATGAAAACTCTTCTGGACCACCAGGTCCAAAGACCTGACATATGCCCTGATTATGGCTATCTTGATTGCAGAAATAGCATATGGAAAAAACAGCCTTTATACTTTCCTACAGCTTTTGCATAGTATTAACGAAGACAGAGCAACTTTTAGATTAATGCTGAAAATTTAGGTGTATCACTAAATACGCTCACAGACTCATGATGAGATACTCAGAAATTCAGATTTTGTATCTTCTTTTCAAATCTGTGACATCTCTAGAAACAACCAACAAAACCCTAAAGGAAAGAACACGCTGATTTAGGCAGGAATACTACTGCACCATAGCTCAGTATTTTAGGGAGATCAGATTCACACAAGAACTGCTAAGTTGTTCAGACTTTGTGTAAGTCAGGGGGCATTTTGCCCTTTTAACATACGTAAGATAAGACCTTCAGAACAGATCAACTCATTTATGAGACTTATGTTGCTACACTTTCTTGCCAAAAATTACTTTGCTGGTGCTGCTGTTTCATTTGTGGGTATTACCTTATAAAATTTTCCTCTTATGATTCTATATTAGACATTCAGCTCCAGTGTTAACTTTCTCCTTGTGCCTTTCATACAGATTTCACAATTCCTTACTTTTTTTTATTATGTTTTTTTTTTCTTCACTGATTTTGCATCTGCAGTTGATTCTTAATCTGGGGTGAAAGTTGCAAATTGGATCCCACTAAGTTGTTCTTTTAATGCAATGTATGTTCACCATCCCTTTGTGAGTGCACAGATTATAATATCATAAGATGATGCAGATTTGCTTCTGCTGGCAGCAAATATATAGGAAGATTTATAAAACAAATACCTTTCCCATCTAATACACCACAAAAATAACACTATGCATTCTCTGTCAAGTAGGAAACAGAACTCATCAAGTCTGGGGATACAATCACTTTTTATCTCTAAATTTAAGTGAGTGTTTTAGAGCATGCACCAGCTTTTTTGCAACAGCAGTTTAACAAAATAGCGTATAATCAAGCTAGGAGTAAATCAGCAATCCAAAGTAACAAGCACATGCAGTCAAATTTAACACTGTTCAAGATGTATGATAATACATAGTACGTTTTCTTAACAGTCACTTTCTTTTAGCAGCACTTTCCCACATTGGAAGTGTAATATTTTGGAGAAATATATGACTGGGGAAACGTGAAAATGTTTACCAAAAGGGGAAAAGACCAAGCCCAAACCATAATTGATATTAACAATTATCTCTATGTCATGATTTTAGGAAGGCACTATCATATCCCCTGTTCAAAGTACACATGCACAAGGAATTTCATATTTTAAACATGAAAATTGAGAGCAGAACAAAAAACCTCAAACACTGAATGATTTCAAGATACTAGGCTGTCATTTAGATTTAAAATCTAGGATATTATGCAAATATCAACACCACAGAAGTCCTCTGTAGCTTGACAACTTTGCTACCTAAGGTCTTGTCAAAACAGGAAAAAATGCGGT